GCCATCTCTTGCTGGCATTTGGTAGTGAATGAGGAAACTATAGGCCGTACCAAGGATGTTTCTTTGTTTCTGAGAGGTGCCCAACCTTTGCACCCTCTCATATCCCGGACGACAGCCAGAGTGCTTGGTCCCTCGGATTCATTTACCCCGTTTACACTACCCTTGAAAAACCAATCCATGCTGAGAACGGTCCGAGCTCGGATCAGTTAACCAGGCCAAGCTCGGTTCTGACGACCGTTTACACATCACGCTATCTCGGTTTCTCGACTCCTCACTTCCTAGTGACGATCTGCGGTATTACGGCCAGTATTGAAGGAGGAAGTCAAGCAGTTGGTGGTGGTAATGCACCAAAAGTTGTTTGCCAACCGCCATAAAACACAAGAAGAAGAAGACGAAAAGGAGGGAATCAAGCAAATCAAAATGGCAGCGCCCGTCACATTCAAAAAGTTATGCTCGATTATTATTGCTGTACTTCGGTGTTATCATTTAAAATGCCATTATTTAAAATGTTGCATGGAGAAGATTTCGATTGTTTTTTATAGTTGTTCTTCTTCTGTTTTGTGTTGGTTGGCAAGCAACTTCCGGAGGGGCATTACCGCCAACTACTGGAATGGAGTGTGAATCGGGATGTGCATTCAGACGGAGATGACGCGTTCTGCTCATGCGCTCTTGTTATCAGAGAACCGAGCCAGGGAAAAACTGAGCCGAGCCCACCTCTGGAACTGGTCTGCAGTTAGCTCGGTTCGGTTGTGTCTATCTCGGTTCAGTTCAATTTGCTTTCCATTTACACACGATAAGTTATCTAAGTTACTGAGCTCGGACCGGTCTTGGCATGGTTTTTCAAGGGTAGTGTAAATGGGGTAATTGTGTTGTCCCAGTGACGATGGTGTCTGCCTGGTAATGTTTGAAAGTTTTGTTCCTATATGCTATGTCTCAGGATATGGTGTTTAGAGTTTAGAGCCAAAATTAAGACTATTGCAGGTCCAGTGGTGTCTACTTCCTCAGCGCAGGAGGCTTATATAGCATATTTTCAAGTCAGGAGACTTAACCAAAGTATTCAACCATTCATTCTCGCATTGATGGTGGTGAGCCGCATTGTAGCCACAGCTGCCCTGGGGCTCACTGACAGAGGCCATGCTGCCATGCACTGGCGCACCCAGGCCATCTGTCCACCATCAGGAGGCAATGAAGGAGAAGTGTTTTGCCCAAAGACACAGCAACACTAAAAGCCAAAGCCAGGGCTAGAACCGACAACCCTCAGGTTGCAGGGCAAACTCATGCATCCAACGCCACTGTCACCCTCAAAGGTTTAACAAATCCCAAAGTGTGTTTATTATAATATCGAATGAGTTTAGCATTATATGATCCAGGTGTGAAGAGTTAGAGGACTGTATTTTTAAAGTAAAGCAAATTAAACACATCAATGTAGTGGGAAAGGTGGTGGAGAAGTCCTTTGAGCGTTTCCCGATTCCAAAAGCAATCAATAGGTAGCCAACTTCAGCTTCAGCTTTGTGCATCTATGTGGAAGGCAAGTGGTATCTCAGACTAGAGCAGGGAATATTAGCCCGAACCCGACGGGACCCGAGAGGTCCTGCCGGGTTCGGGCTGTACTTTTTATTATTTCATTCGGGCCGGGCCGGGCCGGGCTCGGGCTTTAATATGCGCGGCAAATAAATGATCATGTGATAACGTTCGATCTATACGCGATGAATGCAAAATGGATGTTACAGAAGTGAAACGGAGATTAGCCCTTAATGCGCACAATTGAAAAATGTCGGGCTGCAAACGGGTCGGGCTCTACGAAGCTGTCAATCATAACGGGCCGGGCCGGGCACGGGCCTGGTTCTTTAGCACTCGGGTCGGTTTCGGGCTGACTTTCAAGGCCCGTTTCATGCTCTATCTCAGACTAATGCCCTCCCATCTCTGCTGATGGATAGCAGAGGCAGTGACCAGAATAGACATGCTAATCACCAGCTTCTCCACAGCTAACAATTCCCCTTCCTTAAGACCGCCTTTCAGAGGCATAGACCAGTATCGAGTATTCCAGGCTAACAAAGATCCAAAAAAGGACTTCCCATTACTAAGGGGTGGACCCGTTCTTCTGGTTCAATTTGCATGTTTTATAAGCCAAAACCAAGTTTTTGGGCTACTATATGAAGCTTCAAACTCAACCCTATTTCTGACATTTTGAATTGAAAAAGCTTCCTGGATGGGAAGAGAAACATCTTCAGACTTTGAAACAAAGTCCAATGGATTGCTTTTTTATTTTTTATTTTTTTTGGGGGGGGGGGGGGGGGGGGGGGGGGATTATCCAAAGTTACAGATGTAGTTACCTAGATCTCAGCTCTAGCATCTCATTGGTCAGCACCAGCCAGTTGTGCCACCCGATCATTGGTCAGATAAGTATGTTTCATTGGAATGGCCTCCTTCCAACTGGACCAACAACCTGGTCTGTGATCTTAGAACAATCATTACTAAAGGATCTAAAATCATCCAAATGCCTCAAAAGTTGACATTTATGGTCAGCAAGGAGCTTTTGGAGCATAAAGCTGAAGTGAAACAAAGAAGCTGAAAGTTTCTAATGATTGTGAATATGCTTCCATGTCAGTGAGATGTGAAGAAATGGTCGGTTATTATACTAATAAAGGTCCTTTCTCCTGGTTTCTTCATGTTTTTCATCTTTTTGTTCCTCCTGGTTCAACATGATTCCAACCTACTGTCAGTGCTGAGCAGCGGTGGTGTCTCAGCGTTACTCTGCCCTCCCTTCAGACAGATGGTGTAGAAGCAAGCAGGATGGTTCCTTGTTTTCATGTCTGCCAGCTTCTCACCTCTTTGGCAGAGTGTGCATCACGCTGGTGTCTCACCCACACAGAGGTAGAAATAGAGCAGCATGAGAGGCTTTAGCAGCAGAGCGCCTCCCAGAGACGGTGCCAGGCCCAGATTGGCTTATTCTGTGTGAAATATGATGCAAATCCATGGAGAGAACATCACAGCTTCAGAGAAAGGATCTCACCTCTGAAGCTTTGGAAGGAGTTTCATTAACAGCACATCTCCATCTAATCAGGAAAAAAACTGAAGATTGCTGCTAAATAAAACTTCCTGACAGCAACACATTTGTCTTCACTCTCTTTTTAAATCTGCCTCTATTTTTTGCTATAAAAATAGAGAAAATATACAGTTGCATGCAATTCGTTCCATTGTCAAAACTGACTGTAGAATTTACATAAAAACTGTGAAATCACAAAATAAAACTATTGAAAACTGAAAAACAAACTTTTTGCTTATTTCAAGGCAAACCCTTGTAAAATTTTAAATCAAATTGTAAATCTCACAACAATAATATGAGATTAATCAAATGTATTTCTTTAAAAAAAATAAGGCAAGGGAAATTTATTTGTATAGAACAATTTAGTACAAAGACAATGCAAAGTGCTTTACATGATTAAAATATAGGAAAATAAAACAAAATCAGAGCAACTAGAAGGAAAAAAATAAATAAATAATAAAAAAGATGCAGAAACAAGAAAGAACATTAAAAGCAGTTGGACTAAAGAAAAAAGTTAGAACACACAGGTCCTTCAACCTGTTAATACGAAACTCAAAAACTGGAAAAATAATAGTTTTTGTCAGTTGATTTGAAAACACAAAATATAAGTGTCACTTTTTAAATACCATATTTTCCTGCTTCAAAGCTGCCACTTTGAACCTTACCGCTTATAAGAAGGGGCGGCTTTTCTGTGGATGTTTCCAAATTGCCAGAGGGGGGGAGTCTTAGACTTATAAAACTTTTATTGTCAATTTTGTACACACAGAGTGTATAAAAAATGAAATTTGGTTTAGCACAGCTTTTCAGAGAGTATATGCACCAATTCAGAGCAGTGCAAATATATATGGTGCAACACCACACAGTGACACACCTGGTCAGAACGCTCTCTATGGTGTTTCTGTAGTAAGTGGTGAAAATGGGGGGGGGGAGAACCTCTGATGTGGTCTGGGGTCCAGGAGAGGCTGAACACAGAAAGTTGTAGCCCACCTCTTGGATCCCTGGTGGACCTTTAAGCTCCACCTCCTGATACAGTTTCTTCAAACCCCTGACTATACTTTCCTGAAGCTCTAAAGTCTAAGGTCATCTTTCCATTCATACTGGAGTCATACGGGAGTCTGTGGACCTCCAGCTGTTCAGCTCAGTTCCTTTGCTCCCCCCAGTTGCTGACTTTTCCTAATGATCCTAACGACCATTTCTGACTGATGTCTTTTCGTTACTCTAATGTGACACCTTATTTTCTGAAAATGGAAAATTTGTTTTCCACCAGCCAAAAACATCAACATGAACAGAAAAACATGTCAGAATAATGAAGCGTAGAACTGATCCATCTTTAGTCGTAGTTAGGTAGAAAAGGGAAAGACGAGCACCTGGTTAAACACCATGCTGGTGGAATTGATACCACAGACTCTTTACAGTAGCTGTGAGGATCCAGTCCACTCTGATATTTTATAAAGCAGATACAAATACCAGTAAATGCACTTAGATTAATAAAAACAATATAGAAAATAAAAGGAAAAAAGAGAAAAGATGAGACTTCAACTTCACGCCTCATTCTAGGTACCGACAGAAGAAACTGATCCTCTGACCTAAGAGAATGAAGCGGTGCATAAATATGTAGATCAGAGATATATGGAGGAACCAGGCCTTTAGAGACTTAAAACAAAATAAAATAGTTTTTAAATGAATCCTAAAATTAACCGGCAGTCCGTGAAGTGAACTTGAAGTGAAACTAGAAAGATATAAAATGATCCTCTAAAACTTTGATTGCATGCATTTCCCTGCTGACATGAAATAATAGTGTTAAAGTAAATAAAGATGTTTAAATAGATCCAAAAGATGCATGCCGCCCCCCCAGCCAAAATTGCATGTGTTTCATCCAGGAAGCTGTGGTGATAAAGTGAGGAGTGACTAGTGAGCGTGTTTTACAGATGAAAGCAGAGCAGAGTGTTCCTACCTTAAACAATCTGAGGATGTTGGCTACCATGATGGACACCGAACTGGACGACGCCCCAATTATACCGACCACTTTATCTGGCTTAGCAAAGATGGCTGACTCTCCGTTGGCACAGCGCACATCTGAGCTGTCCCTCTCAATCAGCGCCTGGACGAAGGTCAGCGACTGCTCCAGGGCGTAGGTGTCACGAGAACAGGTGTCCAGGATGCGTGCTCCTAGCGTCACGTTGGGCAGCAAATCCTGGTCCTTGTTGATGAGGTCTATGGCAAACAGCATTGCCTCCAGGCGATGGATTCCCTTCTCCTTCTTCAGCTCACCACAGGGGGCGCCCCTCTCTCCTCGAGCATGGACAGGAAACAAGCCCCCCAGGATGATGTCCCCATCCAGGCGGATGGAGTGGCCGAACTCCGGCGCCTGCTGCTGGGGGTCTTCCAGGACAGATGTTGAGCCCAGCAGCCAGCAGCTATTCAACAGCTGCAGCAACAAGAAACGACATCCAGAAAAGTTTGGCTTCCAGCCCTTAGCCATCTTGGAGTGGGAGTTTTACTGAAACTCTGCCGCAGCTAACCGGGACCTCCTGCTGGGTAGCTAGGACAGGAGGAGCATGGAACCTGTGCAGAATACGTCCAGAACTTATGTCCTCTGCTTCTGACAGATAGCTTTGACCAACATAACTGGAGCAGAACCTGGAGCTTCACATTCTCCCAGAAACCTACAGTGAGACGGAACAAGGTAAGAATCATCAATAAGTGGCAGATGAGCAGGTCAGCAGCTCTCTGGCGCCAGCGCTCTTTTTCAACATTCAGAAACATCAGATCCAACATCCTGGGAGGAAACAAAACACTTCAAAATGTCTTCTAATGAGGGGAGACTAGGGATGGCCTCGTCTTCAAAACAAAAACATTAACATGGTAACATTAATAATAACTGTTCAAAAGCTGCTCTGATTATTAGTTTAAATCTTTAGCATTGTCCTGATGCTTCTGTTCAGGTTTAGTTTCTGCAGGAAAGACCTGTTGGCTCTTCATTCATCTTTGCTTTAACAGCCTGGCAGCTTCTCACCAGTTTGGAAGCTGAACAGCTCACAGCTCCTTTCAGTCTCTCAGCAACCAGCATAGCTTAATGTAGGTACAGTTTGGAGTCGTGTCAGCTTCTCAGAAAGGAATCTTAATCTAGCAGATTATAAATGCTGTAAGCAAGCAGCATGTGTTGGTGCCAACAGTTTGGACTCATCTACATACATGCAGCTAAATAAAAAACAAGAGCTGCAGCTGGAAATGATATAGATGCATATTCTATAGATACCAACGTAGATAGTCATCCTGCAAAGGTTTTATTCAGTGACATGAATCTCAGTAAAAAACATTTTTTCTCGTAATGTAACAGTATCCGTGTGTAAAAAAACCTCATGGGTGTGAATACTTTTCAAGAGTTTCTAGATAATGAGCCCTGAACGATTCTCCTTTATATTCCTCTCATTCTTCAAATCTGCTACTTAAGTGTTTCCCGGCGGGAAAACAGACAAACGGTGCTGAGAATAAAACCTGTATGTTGCAGAAAGGGGTCTGAGAACTAAACCTGCAGCCCTGATCCCAAAAACTAACTAAACCTCTGACCTCCTATTGGACGCTTTCTCCTCTTCCTCCTGCTGTGATCTTCATCCTACTCTTAGTGAAACTACATTCTCTCATTTCTCCCCTGCTGGATTCCTCCACATACAGGATTTTCTGTTTCTTGTTCTGCTCTCAGGGCTCAGATGAAACAGATGTTTCCAGGTGTGCTGAACCTGTTCCTCTACCTGTAAAACTCAGCAGGTGGTTCCAGATGTCCTCAGCCTCCTCTTCTCGGGTCTGAATGTAATTCTGCTGCAGTGATTCGGTCCAATTCCCAGTCCTTGAAAAGTCCGGTTCTGGATTCTCCTCACTGGCATCTCTGGGCTTCAGCCGGCTCCGGACGTCGGTGCGTCATCATCAGCCATAATGAATGAACCTCCCGCTGGGTCTCTAACAATGACAGCGGGGCGCGCTCTGCCAGTGATCGGCCTCTGAGCAGCAGGGAGGCCCCCAGGCTCCAGCCCGGTCCAGGCTGAGTGCAGAGAAGCGCTCCGGTGTCTGAGCGGAGTGAGCAACTGGGGCCCCTGGGCCGGGTGAGGAGATGGAGCGCGCGACAGCGGCGGGGCGCGTGCCATCAAGCCCGTGCGCTCAATGTGGAATCATCTGATGGAGGTTTGGCGCCATCTGTCGGAGGAATGGCCGCTCACTGACTGGGACAACATTAGTGTCAATTTGTAAACAAAACCACATTTCATTTCTACAGTTTTCAGCAGTGAAATGAACATTAATAAAATAAATGTAGAAGTTCAGAAATAAATACATAGATGCAGTAAAAACATTAGAGTTGCAGCTTGTTGTGAATATATGATTATAATAGTCACACTACCTCACTGTTGTTCCTCATGTAAAAGTCAATCCACCTGTATATAAGCCATCCGGGTTGTACATATGACGCCTCAAATCTCTGTGTTACTCCCTTGTATTTTTTTGTTTCCTATTTTTATTTTGTTTTTCATTGTGTGTGATACATGTACACTTGCACCTTAATCCTTATTTATCTTGATATACTGTGTATATATATATATATTGTTTATTCTTAATGCACCTTTTTCCTCCTTGTTTGCACCTTCTTTATTTACTATGCCAATATGTGACCAGTGGATTTCTCAGCTGTGAGATCAATAAAGCTCATCTAATTTAATCTAATCTTTTTGCTGAGAAAATCCTCCATTTATGGATCAGCGCCTCTAAGATCCACCTGATCTCTGTCAGCACCTGAAGCTGCACTGCTGCTCACCCTATACCTCACAAAACATTTCTAAACAGGCCTCTGAAACCCTTTCTGAGCATCAGCAGGGAAATTATTAAATATCTATTTACCGCAGTGTACAGAGAGGAGTATTTCTATTATTATTAACAGTACAAAATATACAACAAACAAATCTTCATATAAGAAATAACATCAAAACATTCAAACAAAAATCTTTACAGAAATGATAAAACTACCTGGAACACAAGCTTTTTCAACACCGGACACAAATAAACAACAAATAAACATTGATGCAAACTACATTTTTAAACACAGGGATTAAGTCAAATCTTGTCTTTTAAAATGTCCTGTTCCTAGGCAACCATATGTCCATCCTGGCATTGCTTTAATGAACATTTTATTCAAAGTCATTGGAATCACGACACCAAATAAAAAGAGCACTTTCCAATCTATTCATGTTTTTGGGAGCAGCAGGACACAAACACTGCAGACATTAAAAGGAGAATTCCAGGCATCAGTCATTCATACGGTTTATAATATGGTAGAAAATATTTCACTGCAAAAATGTTCGCTGTGAATTTATAGTGAATCATTGGATAAGGTTTGTGTGGCTTTCAGAGTAAGGATGACAGCAATATACTCTAAAACATGCTTGCAGCAATTTGCTGTCATTTCATGCATGATAATACAACAAATTGTTATAAAAGCACAAATATAAACTGGATTATTCACATGATATTCCAGTAGATTACAGGGTGGCGGTGGGGCTGTCTATGGGTGAAAGGCGGGGTACAACCTGAAGGGTCACCATCCACACATAACAGCATTCAAGTCAACTTGTCAACAAGTCGACTTAACTGAGCTGAGCCGCTCACATCTGGACAGCTCTAAAGTTGCCTTCCCCCCACTGGCCAGTGTGGGCTGCATGGCATGTAGAGCTGCTCTTCTCTGAGCTTATATGGGATTAGTAGAGCACACAATGGAGTTACTGTAACAATAAAAGCCAGATTAGAACCACCTGATTTAACCAAGATGGCAGCTATAAGTCATTTTCAGCTGCACCCTAACTTAATTTGATGACGCCATAGAACGAGGCATCGACTCGACTTGGAAGAAATCTTACACATAGGGCCAGATTTATCAAGATCCTCCATTTATGGATCAGCGCCTCTGAGACTCACCTGATCTCTGTCAGCTCCTGAAGCTCCACTGCTGCTAACCCTAAACCTCACAAAACATTTATAAACAGGCCTCTGCAAACACAAGGAGATGAATCCCTTTCTGAGCATCAGCAGAGGCAAACAGGGAAATTATTAAATATCTATTTACCGCAGTGTACAGAAAGGAGTATTTCTATTATTATTAATAGAATGATGTGCACCCCCAGGAATTTGGTGCTGCTGACCACCTCTACAGCTGAGCTGTTGATGAGCAGTGGAGCTGCTTGTGACATTTTGAGTAAAAGAGCAAAAATGTGGCGGCGATTCAGCTCCTCTCATTGATTTTCATAAACATAAATTTCCTGTTAATCATCTACAAATCAAAGATCGTTTATTTTTTCTAAATGGATTTTTCAATCAATAATTCCTTTTTTGAAGATATTTTAATGATATTTTATTGTTAATTAAACTGAATTCTCCTCATAGATTTTCTGGTTTTCCAATGTGTATTTTTATGTCCTCTCCCTCTCTTTGTCATATTTTACTTGTTTATTGCAGTAAAAAGGTGAAATCTGAGCTCCGGTGTTTTGGCTGAAGAAAACATTTGTTTTTAGGTATAATTATCAAAATAACTCAGATTTTAATATATATGTGAATTAAAAGAATTCCTTGTTGCAGCGACATCACACTATCAGGGATGGCGCTATCACTTCCCATGTCTCTGATAGAAACTAAACTTTATCAGAATCAGGTTTATTGCCATTGTTAGTGACGGAGTTCACAAACTAGGAATTATTATTTATGGTACAATCGTGCAACATGAAACATGTAATATGGAATAGGTAAATAAAGTTATAAAAATATCTAAAACACTGTGGGTATTAGGCATGCAATAAAATAGACTAATATATACACATAAGATTAAAATATGGATATAAAATATAAAAAGTAAAATAGCATCTTACAAGGAGTGCAAATAGAGCAGTGTAAATGACATGGGCAGGTTATAGAGTCTGACATATAGTTAGGTGTTCATGAGTCTTATGGCAGAGGGGAAGCTGTTTTTATGGCGGGAGGTAAGCCTGTAGTTAGCACAACTATTGATCTCACATTGGAGAAATGAACCTCTGCATTTAACCCATCCCCTTGGGGAGCAGTGGGCTGTATGGCACCTGGGGAGCAGTGTGGGGTTAAGGGTCTTGCTCAGGGCCCCAGAGTGGAGGCTGAGGGGATCGAACAGAGTACTTGCAACCTTCTTAGAGCACAGTGCACTGCTCTGACCACTAGGCCATCACCCCCCTCTGTTACAAGTGCTGTCCCAATTCTTAAGATTCAATACACTTGTGACCTCCCTCCTATGGTGAACTTCCTCTGTGTGCTGACTTCATAGTGTGACTGATTGGACTGGGCAGCAGTCAGTTAGGCAGCTCTACTCAGGGTGAAGTTCGCTGCAGCAGCTGTGAACCGAAGTGGCAGCAAACCCAGACTTAGTCCAGCCGGCAGCACTGCTGCTTTCAGTCGGTTCATCATCCACAGTAAATGAATCAGTCCACACTGTATTAATTTCAACAGAGTATTTATTAGTCCAAAGCTTGTTTCCTGTTTATTTTAATGTGATTCCCATGATTTAGCAGAGAACTGAGGATCTGGCCTCTGCTTCCAAACCAACAGCCAATATTTAAAGGTTGGAAAGCGATGAAGCTCCAGGCTTTACGCCTCCATACAGGTTGGTCCTCAGAAACACCAAGAGTTTCCTCCAGGCGTCCTCCTGGGCCCGGGAATGTTCCAGGGTCTGCCCCCCCCACAGAGCCATCACTGCAAACAGCAGGCGGTTATCAGAGCGGCAGCAGAGTCACAGTAGGAGCTTTAAAGACCAGAGGAAGACCTACGCTTTTGGCGTGACTGAACATCTCTGAACACACTGGCTCGTACGTGCGGCGTGTACGGTGGCTCGATCAGGTGACCTGCGTTAGGATACGACAGGAGGGTCAGTAGATGGCTGTTCCCTGCTCGCTCCATCATCGCCTTCATCTGGAAAACAGAACATTCCCAGTCATTCAGACGGTTACCAGCAAGGAAAGGTGGATGGATACCAGTAACACCAGCAGAGACACACCTAGCATAAGTATTCACACCCAGATACCGAATCCAACCACAAACCTTTATTCACTCAACATCTGCTAACAAGAAGTAATGTAGAATATGGTTTTAATTAAGTTTTTTTTTTTTTTTTTTTAAGGCCAATGAGTTTCTGTTTCACCGTCATTCAGGCCCTGAATTTTATTGATTTTTTTTTTCCTTTAGGTTAGCCTCCTTTCAGAGCTCAAACTGTTTCCCTTCTCGTTAGCCTGTAGCTCAGACTGAATGCTTATCAGCAGTTGAAGTCTGAACAGGAAAAGTTTTACTGTCTGCAGGTTTTGGTGCATTAACTTCAGCTTCTCTACTTTCTTTTTTCTCCAGTAGCTCCACCCGTCCTGGTTCTGTTAACCTGTGACCCCTTCTGGAGGGAAGCATCGGCCGCTGCCTAAGTTATTTATATCCACTGGGATTAATAAAGTATTTCTGACGATGATCCACCCCGTGTCGTCTCTGGCTGAGCTTTACTGGTCCTGAATCCTGGACATCAGTCCTTTATGATGAGCTGGTTAGTCTGTTTCTCTCCTGCATAGAAAGACCTTCTTGAGTAAAGATTTCTCTCCATCTTCACAAACCTCCAGTCAACCATTGCAGAAGGTCAGGTCTGGTTTCTCCCAGCAGATAGAGGAACCCTGAAGGAGAGTTCTTCTCTGCACGGTTCCCTACATGCTACTTTGGGAAGATGGATTGATGCTAAATTGATTCCTCCAGCAGAACCAGGCTCAGTGTGAGCGGCCATCTGCTGAGGCCGACTGGGGTTCGAGGAGACAGAAGCAGACATAGAAAAAGAAGCATAAATAAAAAGGCCACTGTCATAAAAAAAAAAAGTTTAAAACAAACTTTTTTTTTTTCAAATTTGAAGACGTTTCCCATACTATCAAGAAAGCTTTCTCAATTCAAAATGTCTGGAGTAATGTAGGGCTCCAGGCTTTATAGAATTGCCCAAAAAAGGCAACTGTCAACCAGCTCCACTCTCCAGAAAACAGTCAGGCAGGATTAAAGGACTAATGTCCAAGCAGGATCTAGAAAAACAGTCTAAGCCTACAGCAGCATAACTATAGAGATAGAATGAAGTGGAATGATGAAATAGGGGTCTCTATGTCCTCCAGCAGTCTAAGCCTATAGCAGCATAACTATAGAGATAGCTCAGGATAACCTGAGCCACTCTAAATATAAGCTTTATCAAAAAGGAAAGTTTTAAGCCTAGCCTTAAAAGTAGACAGGGTGTCTGCCTCACAGACTAAAACTGGTAGTTGGTTCCACAGGAGAGGAGCCTGATAACTAAAAGATCTGCCTCCCATTCTACTTTTAGAAACTCTAAGAAGTCAAATTTAAAAAGCCATTAGTTTAAAGCCGCTTTCAGCTGTTAGAGATAAACTGTTAACTGAGGAATCATTAGTTTGAGGTTGTGGTCCAACTGTTTTGCTTTACTACCTTCTTTTATCTTTATTTGCTTTTATTCTGCTTTATTTTTCTTCTATTTAATTGTTTAAGTAATGTGAAGCACTTTGAATCATCCATGTACTAAGTTGCCCTGCCTTGCCTTTTTTCTATCTCTATTCTCCCACTCTGCAGAATCTGTTAGTTCAATCTCTAACGTTCTGCTCTCTCTGCTTTTTCTCCTAGTAGCTTCATCTGGTCTGTTCCTGTTTGGCTGTGACTCCATCCTGGAGAGAAATATCAGCTGTGCTGCTGCCATCAACACCTTTGTTTATAGATGTTGGAGGTCGGCCTGTTTTTAGGTCTGTTGTCCTTTCTCTCCAAGACATAGCTAAGGGTTCAGCTGAGTTTTTCCTCTCCACTGTTGTTGCATGCATGTTAGGTGTGAGGGATTTTTGTTGAGTCAATAAGTCAAAGCTGTTCTTTCTTAGAAAATCAAACCAAACTGACTGGATGATCTGGTTGACTCGTCTCTGTGAAGTGACCTGAGATGATGTGTTTAGCCTAGATCCGCGGTTCTCAAAGTGTGTGGCGCGACCCACTGGTGGGGAATTGAGACGTGACAGGTGGGGCGCGCCAAGTTCCGGTGTGTGTGTGTGTGTGTGTGTGTGTGACTATAAATGTAGAATGTGTGAGAGCAAACTGTCCTTATAGCTGTATGTTGCCGCTTTTTAGACCAATCAAACCCACAAAGTAATCATTACTAGCCTACATGCAGTCTAATTAAAAGAACATTAGATATGAGAAAAATTTCCCCTGGAACTGAAGTGCCAAAATAATGATTGACGTGACGTCGGCATATTATTTGTAACAGAATAAACTTTCGCGCCCCAGTGTTGCCAACTCAGCGACTTTGTCGCTATATTTCAGACCCCTCCAGCGACTCTTTTTCAAAAAAACAAATCTAGCGCCTTTTGGAGACTCTTACGTGAAAGCACGTATCGTTCCTTTTCTTGTCCTCCAGCGGCAGGTGCTGCCGTGGGGCGCCTCCCCCGTCCCAACCCCGTTCTCCCCCGCTATTGCAGGAGTCCCTATCAGCGCTGCAGTCAGAGCAGAGACACAGCATGTTTAACTTTTACGTCCAGACTGCAAATAAAGCGCACATGCGCCGGGATTGACGGCGCAGGTTGATCATAAATAACTGAATTTGAAATATTTTATCTTAAATAAATAACGGCGTTTGATTCACACAGCCACATGTTCATGTTTCTGGTTAGGAGTGGAGAGCGAGTATCCACTCATCGGGCAGAGAGCTGTGTGCATTCTTCTTCCCTTTGCCACATCATATCTCTGTGAGATGGGCTTTTCAGCTGCTGCTTCAATGAAAACAAAATACAGATCTCAGCAGAACATTGAGCATGACTTGAGAGTGGCAGTATCAAGCCTGCAACCCCGTTTTGAGAAACTGCAATGCAAAACAGGCTCATTGCAGCCACTAATGCAGGGATAAACTGTCTTGCCAGATGGATTTCACTTCTTTTCTTTTATTAACAGATTGCAGAGTGGCACTTTAATTTTTTCTATCTTTGAGCTTGATACAAATTTTGACACAGCTGCATTTTTATTTTCTTTATTTTTGAGCTTGCTGTTATTTGATGTAGATTTGTATTTAGATACTACTTGTTACTTCAATAAAATTGGAACATTTTAAGATTGTTGAATATTTCATTAGCATTGTGTTGGGGCGATGGGGACAGGCGGGGCTTGAAAATTCCCCCTTGTCCAAAGTGGGGAATGACAGAAAAAGTTTGAGAACCACTGGCCTAGATAAAGAGGTGGATGGCTGTGCTTATTTTCATGACACAGAGGTCTTTTTTAAAACACCCTTTTTTAAGTAAATCCTTTGAAAATTGAATGGCATTGATGTGATTCTGGCTAATGAAAGCTGGTCATAATAATTATTATGCAGTGAAAGGCCAATGATCACAGTCCCCTCGTCTGCTTTAAATATGTATTCATTTATTGAAATTGGTTAAGTTTTAGGAATTTTCAATTAATTTTAAATATAACTCAATATTTCTAACCTAAAGGAGACAGAAGCAGACATAGAAAAAGAAGCATAGATACAAAAGGCAACTGTCAACCAGCTCCACAGGCGGCCCCGTCCAGGAAACACACAGCCAGGCAGACGAGCTCCGAGCCAGCTCCCATGTTAGAGGATGAAGAGAGCACATCCAGTTAGTCACAGTCAGAGAAACAGGACTACACTGAAAAACAGGCCGATCTCCAACATCTAGAAACAAAGGAGTTGATGGCAGAAGCACAGCTGATATTTCTCTCCAGGATGGAGTCACAGCCAAACAGGAACAGACCAGATGAAGCTACTATGAGAAAAAGCAGAGAGAACAGAACGTTAGAGATTGAACTAACAGATTCTGCAGAGTGGGAGAATAGAGACAGAATGCAGCAGAATTTCTCTGTCATAACAAGTGCTGAACTTTAACACAGCAATCATTGACAAAAACACATAAAAGGCACCATTAGAAGCACTAATTCTGTTTCAAGCGTTCTTTTTGATAAAAGACATTTACCTTGTCGAGATTACACCAGCAGGTCACCAAGCAAAGTCCAGCAGGAGCAGCGTCTCCCAGATGGAACCCAGCTGAACCAGTGGAAGGATGAACTGATAGTACAGTCAATGTATCCCTCTTTATTGCTCCCTCACCTCAGCAGCAAATATGTTTGTCCACCATGAACTGTGGACTTAAGGTCAAACACAGTTTAGCTGCTAACGGCTGCCTTCTTCTAACTACAGAACAACAAAGACTGCTTTTATAAGCGTGTTTACTAGTTTATGGGACAGATCCATTCAAATGTGCTTCTAAAAGTAGATCTTTGTAATCCAGGTTTCTCCTGTCCAGGGGTTGGTCCTAGGATTAAGATGGCTTCAAAAGCATCCAATATTATAACCCTTAAAATGGATCCGGAAGGATAAATCACCTTCAGGGCCTCAAAAATAAGCATCTGAATCCATGTAGGCATGTTTGACCTCATGCATTCAGACATATGTTGCCACACACATTAGTATTGGTACCCTAAGGAAAAAATAAACACACAATGTAATACTATCCCTGTGAGGACTTTGACTTTCCTGGTCTAACCCTGATATAAACCTAGTCTAACCCTGATCTAACCGTGGTCTTAACCTGATCTAACCCTGGTCTAACGGTGATATAAACCTGGTCTAACCCTGATCTAACTATAGTCTAACCCTGATCTAACCCTGGTTTAACCATAGTGTAACCGTGGTCCAACCCTGACCTAACCCTTGTCTGACCCTGACCTAACCTTGATCTTACCCTGATCTAACCCTGATCTAACCCTGATCTAAACCTGGTCTGACCCTGACCTAACCATAGTCAAACCCTGGTCTAACCCTGGTCTGAATCTGATCTATCACTGGTCTAACCCTGATATTACCCTGATGTAACCCTGGTCCAACCCTGACCTAACCCTGATCTAACCCTGATCTAAACCTGGTCTGACCCTGACCTAACCATAGTCAAACCCTGGTCTAACCCTGGTCTGAATCTGATCTATCACTGGTCTAACCCTGATATTACCCTGATGTAACCCTGGTCCAACCCTGACCTAACCCTGATCTTACCCTATTCTAACCCTGGTTTAACCCTGATCTAACCCTGTTCTAACCCTGATCTAAACCTGGTCTGACCCTGACCTAACCATAGTTTAAAAGGGGAATGAAGAATATGAAGTGCATAAATTATGAAATCTTTAGCTTTACTTAGAATGGTAATACTTCAGGATATTTTAGTTCATATATATTTTATATGAGGTCTCCAGCTAATCTTATGGTCTATCATTACTCCTAAGAACTTAAATTTCCTTAACTCTCTCTTCTATTACATTATCTGTTAGGATACATACCTTTGTTTTAGTTTTGCAGTTTCCAAACAACAAATATTGGTTTTATCCAAATTTACTGATAGTTTGTTCATATAAAACCATACCTTGAGTCGACATAACTCAAGGTTGATATTAGCCATAAGCTGAACCAAATGATCACCTGTACGAAAGATGTTACTATCGTCTGCAAATAAAACAAATTTATGTATCTTAGAAACTTTGCAGATATCATTAACATAAAGGATAAATAATTTTGGCCCCCATACTGACCCCTGGGGGACACTAAAAGCAATGTCCAAGCATGATGACTGGCAGTCAGCTATTTGCACAAAATGTTCCCTGTTGCTTAGATAACTTTTCTTCCATAGTAGTACTACTCCCCAAATGCCATAATGGTCCAACTTCTTTAATCATTGTTTCATGATTTATTGTGTCAAAATCTTTTTTTGAGATCAATAAATACACCAACTGCAGATTTTCTATGATCTAAGGCGCTGGTGACACCGGGTCACAGTCCAGTTTTATCTCCTTCAGCAAGAGGAATGAGGCCACCTGTCCCTCCGCCTGTTCCTGAGCCTGTCCCTCCACCTGTTCATCCGTGAACTTCATCCCGTCGGGAGACGGCTCATCGGCAGGACAGGGCCCTGACACTGCACCGGCGTAAGGGCGGGGCTTGAGACGCAGTCCGGTGATGATCACATCATTCATTCTGGTATAATGTTCCAAGTCAGCCACTCGGTCTTCTAAAACTGCGACCACTTTGTCCTTTTTCTTATTCAGCCGCTGCAAAGCCTTCACCTCTTCAACCATGTCCAGAATGGACCTTCACTGGAGTCGAATGTCCGATGTTTTTCCAGAAAAGAAATCCAACACTGTCCTTATCTCTTCAAACTCCTCCAAGGCTGGATTCTTCTTAGGGCGCATGCTGGCAACTGTCAGGGTTCTTCCCGGGTTTATTTTTAAGTTTATTTGTGTTCTGTGTCTGTAATTTATTTCTACCAGTGCTGAGTTCTTTAATTATCCTCTGTAGACCCATTGTGTTTGTTTTGTTCCTTTCCCCTTGGCTTCCTCCCAGTTGTCCCAGCTCACACCTGCTCCCAATCAGCTCGTTAGTCCTCCCTTTGTTCAGTCAGCCATAAATACTCTCCCTGTGCAGTTCCTTAGTGCTGGTTACTCGTCTTTCCCTGGCTCTTTCTGCTTGTTTCCCCTGATGTCTCCATGGTTCTGGTGTGTTTTACATTTTTTAATTGGATTTTTGGATTCCTGCCTCTGTTACCTGTGAGAACTCAATTAAAACTACAAGAACTCGCCTTTGCCTCCCTGCCTCTGCATTTGGGTCGTGAAACCTCCAAAAAACCTGACAGTAACAGGAAGGTAAACACCGCAACAGGAAGGTAAACTCCACCATGCAACAGCTAAGACACCAGTAACCCCAATACACCACTTCCACGCCTTTGGCAGAACTTGAAACAAAGCTTCTAGGAGAACGTCCTCTGGACAAAGGAGACAAACATGGAGCTTCATGCCTATAACTGTCAGCTCTATGTTCACAGATGGAAAAATGAAGCAGATCCAGAAAAGCAGAAACATGGAGGAGGCTGTGTTATGCTGTGGGCTGCTTTGCTTCATCTGAATCTCTGAATCTCCAATGAAATCTCCAGATTATCAGGGATGGTAGAGAGAAATGTGCTGCAGTGTCAGAAAGCTTAGTCTCAGCAGCAGCTCATGGGTCTGAAACAGGATCAGGAACCAAAACACAGAACTGAAGGGGCCCCTAGGGGCCCTGACCTCCATTCTATTGAGCATCTATGGAAGGAGCGTCAGGAGAGGCAACCTGAGCAGAATAGCTGCTGGGAGGAATAGAGGGCTGATTGACTGGAACAGGAATCAATCATGGCGGAGATCTTTTGCAACAAAATAATGAGTTTGACAACATATATGTTGTCATTATTTGTTCCTCTACAGTTAGCTTCTATAGCTAGCCTTGGTCATACGCTTAAACATGATCATCAAACTCTAAACTGGAAAAACACAGCCTAAATATGCTGCTTATTATAAAGAAAAGTTACTGCAAACTTCAGAATATGGCAGAAATGAAATAATTCAACTTTTGATGATTTACTTTAGACTCCAAGTTTGTGTTAGGATTCTTTTCTATTGATCATGTCTGTGCTTGCTAAACCCTAATTTTAGCTGCCTAGTTTATCTTATTAGGACTATTCTTCTGTCAGGATAAAAAGTCATCTTCTTCATTATTGGGAATGAAATGGGAGCACAGACAGACAGAGATTATTCTGAACAGTGAGCTCTCTGTACATTCTGGTTGTCCTTGCTCTAGAATATTCTATCATCTTGATATGGCTGGAGCCACTGATGTCTCCTCATTTACAAACACGTCTGATGTAATGAAATGGCATATCTGACGCTGGAGATGTTTAAAAAGCTTCTTTAACTGATATTCTGGGCCGACTTGGTGAAGAAGTTAGCCTGCTTGGTAAAAGCTGCCATCTGTAACCTGAGCCATTTCTCCTGTCTGAGTTATATCAGCATTCTGCAATAAATGTTATTTCTAATAGTTATTTAATACATAGACATTATATGGTGTTATTTAAAGTGTTTGTTCAGTGTAATCTCTTCTCTGGAACGAATGGGAAAGCTTAAAGATTCAAACACAGACTTTAATCAAATTTTCACTGTTTTAGAACAGTGCTAAAAGTCAAGAGACATTATCAGCTGTGTATTTGTTAACTATTACTATGAACAATCTGGCAGTTCTTTCACAGAAAAAAGTTCATCAATAATTCATTGTTTTCAAGGAAGACTCACATCCATTGCCGACTCATAGGTGCACCAGTTCTGATCATCTTCTCCAACAATTAGCATCAGTGGACACTGGAGTTTTCCCACCTGCGTTAAAAAACAAAAACATTTTTACTTCATTTACTTTCATTTACAAAAGCTGAATTCAGAAATTCCAGGATAATAAATAAAGCCAGGCTCAATCCTGGTTTAAGCTGTTTCACAACGACCAAGCAAGGTTCAACAGGTCTAAGTTTAAGTCATCAAGCTATGTGCAGGTATGCAACTTTCTTTAAGATATCATGAGGTAGCTTGAAAAGTCCAGTTTAGACACCTGGAGGTGAGAGTTTTCTAGGAGACGTTTCTCCACCATCCAAGAGGTTTCTTCAGGTCTAACTATTGGTGGGGAGCAGTGATATTAATATACTGGAGGGGGAACAAAGAATTATGGGGTGACTATGGCTACGTTCACACTGCAGGCCTTAATGCTCAATTCCGATTTTTTTGTGAAATCGGATTTTTTTGCGTGTCCATTCACACTTCCAAGTATATGCGACTTGTATGGATGAACGCTTTCAGTTCACACAGTAGATCACAAAGTGTCCCGCATGCGCACTCGAGGACGCAATGACGTCACATGTAGCAAGCGTCCTCAGTGTTTGCGGAAGTAAACATGACTCGTAATACCGCAGCCTATATTGCATTCTTTAATTTCTTTTCCAACAGGAGCAGGCACATTACGAACAAAATCTTTTTAAGAAGATCAAAAAGAAAGGGAGCCAGGTTCCGGTAAGACCCTTCGAGTTTGATCTGAATCGAGCTATCTTTCCAAATATGAATTAAGTCAGCAACCTCACTTTCTCTCCATTGACTGCTCTCTGTGTTATCTTCCGCAATGGTTGTTAGTTTTTCCCGCCTCCGCTTAGTAGGACGCAGTTTAGTAACGTTTAGTAACATTTGTCAAGTATCAATGACGTGTAGGTCGGATGAATGCGACCTGGCCGTACAGACACAGGTCGCATTTGAAAAGATCAGATACGTATCGGATTCAGGACCACATATCCAAGTGGCCTGGGTCGCATTTGAAAAAATCCGATCTGTGTCGTTCAGACTGTCATAAAAAGATCAGATACAGGTCACATATGGGCAAAAAAATCGGAATTGGGTCACTTCAGGCTGCAGTGTGAACGTAGCCTATGATACCTCCTACTGCCTACTGGATTGGCCTTGGAGGTCACCTGGGGGGGTTAATGGTCATTAGGGGGGAACACGCATTTCATTGCTAACTCACAGGACTTCTCCAGCAGGATAAAGAACCTGACACTGGACACAGAGAGACCATGGTCTCCTATGATGTCACACCCCTCCAAAGAAGCAGTCTCCACAGTAAGGATGAGTTTACTTGAAGAACACCCTCTGCCAGACAGGACCAACCCGACCCATCTGACTACATCTGTTCTCTCTTGAACTTGAGCCTCACCACCACATATTACAGCTCTCCTGTGTCTTCCATAGTGGTGAAGTCATACATGGAAGAAGTGGAAAGCAGAGCTCTACACTCAAACCCAGTCACTGGTTCAGATCGGTGGATGACACAGGGGTCAAAATAAAGACCAAGGATATCAACGCGTTCACAGACCACATCAATGCAGCGGACAGAAACATCCAGTGCAGCCGGGAAGATGTGAAAGATGACAGCCTTGCTGTCATTGGCCTTTTTATCCGTCGACAGTTAAACTGTTGAAGAAACAAGCAGAAAGCCACCAGCAGACTTCTGGCTTTAGTTACTCACATCCACTTTGAGGGAGGGGTCAGAGGGGATGGGCAGCAGCAGATCTCTCCAGATCACTTCATCATCTTTAGTAAAGCGAGTTTTCCCAGAGTTCCTTAAACAGGAAGGCAGGCCATTGAAATTAAGACACATTTGAACAAACAAACAAACTATGCTTTTTAAACAGATTTTAGAAATGATCCCTTACCTGAAGAAGTAATCCAACGTTTCCTTCAGAAATCCATCCATGGGCTGAATGTGACTGCCACTGATGCACACTGCACACCTGAACTGCTCAACACATCAAATACGTATTTAGAGATGGATGTTGATCAGATGAAAACAGACAGAAACCTGAATGTATGCAGAGTGGATCTGTGCTCCCAGTATCTGAGCTAAGAAGCTGTGAAAACCTCTGCCTGCTAGCCAGACGTCCCATCCCAGTATCAGCCGGAAGTGAAATTGATTTGCATCGGTTCAGGTGGACACTAAGAGATCCAACTGGAGCTGTTCTAAATCAAACCTTGGTAACTTCAGAACAGACAGCCATCCTCAGGGTGATGCTGGTGCCCAGGGAGAGGCCCAGCATGGCCATTCTGCTGCTCAGGACCTTGGGGTGCTTCTGGAGGAATTTATAGGCTGTCTGCAAGAGGAAAGCATGTTACAGGTCAGAGACACTACAGCTTTATCAGGGCTGTTAAAACTGGACCATCTTAAAGAAGCAGGCAGCTCTGTTCATCCATCCAGGAGAGATTCTCAAAATCATATCCAGTTCCTTGCAGGGCATCCATCCACAGCTGGGCTCACAAATCAAGCCAGTGACTTTCAACCTTTCTGGAGCTGCAGTATATTTTTTGCATTTTCAAACTCGGGCACATCAAAACGACACTAACACAGAACATAACATAGATATAGTTAATAATATAGTTTCTAAATGTATTTATGCTCAGTGTAGGAGCCTAAATGCAGTTTATTTTAGTTAGTGTATAGTTTTTTTTTATTTAAAAATATGCAAAATTCTAAGTAAGATAAATATTGTTTGTGATTTCATGATTCAAAGGGATTTAAAAGGATTTAAAAATGCCATTTACATATGTACAGTAGGGGTGGAACGGTTCAAAAATCCAGGGTTCGGTTCACGATTCGGTATATGTTGATTGTTACACCGAAATCCCATACAAATTTATGAAATTAATAAAAAAAAAAAAAATGAATTGCAATCATTTTTAATGATCCGCGGAAACCCTGGATCATTTCCGCATGTTTTGCTGCTTTGAATTTAATCATCTGGCGCATGCTCTCTACCATCTCCAAGAACTCAGAGCGGAGCGGACGGGAGCCACAGTGGAGGATGTATGCTTTGCTTTGTGCAGGCGATCTGGAGCGCTGACGGAGTAGGAGGGATTTCGGGGTTAGCATGACATGTTGGTCATGTTGCTGTTAGCATAAACAAAACGTGTTGCACAATGCTTGCACACTGTTGCACTTTTATCCACAACTTTCTTTCCGCCGTCATTGTAGGTCACACTAAATGCAAAGCGGTCCCATGCAGCAGACATATAAAGTGCTGCTGGCGCGTCTTCCAACTCCTATTCTTTCCCACTCGCCATACCCACACAATTCTCCACAACAACTGATTTTTTCCTGCTACACCCGGCTACGCTGCTTCGCTTCTTCTTCTTCCTGTTTACTACTGGTGGTTGGCTTTGGTCGCAGTAGCGCCACCTTCTGCTCTGGAGTGTAAACACTTCGCTTATGAGAAAAAGGAGCAGCGCATGAACCGAACGAAACACACGCGAACCGAACCGAGACAGTCGAACCGAACGGTTTGGACGGTTTTCATAAACCGTTCCATCCCTAATGTACAGTTCATTGATATTGTGTGAGTAAAATATGACTTTATTTAAAAACCCTTGATTGGGGGTGATTGATCTTCATGCCAGGGGAGCGTGTTCAGTGGGAATCAGAAGGAGATTGCAGCGCAATAGTTTTTTGACCTCGCCCCTTCCCAGGCTCCGTTGGACTTTAAAAGACTTAATTTAGTGGATACATTATGTTTTCTGTAATGTTGTGTTAAGTTTTCAAGTAAATAATTAAAATCAAGAAGTGGACTCGTGGATTTATTGAGTGTTTTTCATACAAGGGAGTCTGACGAGCATCAGGCTAAAGCTTCTATAAGGACAGTAAGAACCTAGGAGTGAAACCAGGGCCTGTTTAGATCAACACCAAAGGGACATCCTTACAAGAATGGTAGAAAGACTCATGAAGCTCTTCCTCAGTCTCTCTCTGTTTTAAGTTTTTATCTTAGTCAAGCTTGAGAAGCTAGGCTCACATAGATTTGTGGCGGAAAACAGGAGCAATGTCTAAATAGTTTGGTGGACAGAATTGGGAACTCCTTGGCAACAAATAACTGAAAACTGTCCAAAGGAAGATCAGCGAAGTTTAGATCCAGTTTCAGTTCAATAAGTTCCTCTTCCTCCTTTAAAGTTGCATCCTTCCAGCAACGGATACTGAGCTGTATGGGTCCCTAACCCAGGCAAGGCATTCTGGGAAAGCTGAAGAGAAATATGATGACAACTTCTCCTCACACACTGCAGCAGAATAGCCATCGTGGAGTTTCTCTGTGTGCGGGAACATCTCCAGGTTGCACCTTTAAACAGATCCTGTTCAATCTATCAGTGCTTGTAGCAGGTTTTCATTTCGGCCTTGTATCCGTGGGTTCAGCTCCTTCAGATAATGAAATATATCGGCCACCTTTGATCCCCATTCATCACTCGCAACCAGCTTTGAGCAATCGGACCTTGTTTGTCAAAAATACTTCAAGTTCCTATCGCAACTCATACACACAGGCCAGCAGCTTGCTGCAAGACAGCCAGCGGACCACCATGTGGAGCAATAAGATTTTATATTCTGCTCCCATTTCTTCACACAAAGACGCAAATAAACGACATCTCAAACGTCGCATCTTCCCATAGCTCATCATTCAACACATTAGCTATATCTGTGGCTGCGTCAGGACCAAGCATCTCATTTATAATGGCTTTAATAGCTGGCAGTATTAATGTTGGATAGCTTCTCACCAAACACCAAGCAGAGCGGAGTCTCTGCTGTCGCATCCCCGGTCAAAGTAAATCCAAATGAGAGATAGCTTCCGCTCTATTGCATCGCGCTCACCATCTTTTCCACTCATACTAGAACCTTCATCTGGGACAGAATTTGTCCAGAACAGCATTTGCATTTTCCCCTCTCAAAAACGTCTCCATCACTGTCACTCTACTGTCTTTACAGGCGTTTATCACCCTCTGCTGCCACCAACTGAAATAGAAGAGTATTACATTATCTGCCAAATTTAATTAAAGCACAGACACCCGACAACGGTAAATTAGGTGATATTAGATAAAATTCTCACGGCACAGTGGTTGGAAATCACTGGGCTAAGAAACCAAATAAAAATAGTGAGCCATGTTTATGTTTAAAGATGTACAAATATCACTTTGAAGTAGATACTGTTTGCATTATAATTCTACCAATTAATACATTTTTGAAAATCTATTATTTTATCAGTTCAGGTCATGAGTCCGTCCTGGAATTGTTCTGCTCTCGGGCATCCCATTGGATCCCCAGACAGATGGAACAAAGGGAATACATTTATCTATTAAGCACCAATTCATAGCAAGCGTAGAATCAACGCACTTTAATAAGCAAACGGCACAATTTTATTCACATACAGAGAAAGATAATCCACTCGGTCCAACGTAATACAATAAACACCTGCTGAAAAATCCCCAAAAACCTCAGGAGGCCTCCTCAAGTTTATAGATCATACTCAGTATATCCAGCTTGACCTAAGCTGAGCTGCTGTCAGTCAGACAACAGTTTACCTGAGCAGTCCTAAGGTGCATGATCTGATACTTGGCTGCAGGATCGGCTTCATCCTTACTATAAACGCCTGAACACAGGGTCTATATATGACTTTTTAGTCTCCAATTTGATTTTTCTCCATGTCACACTGACTGCGTATAAAGAGGCACTAACTAGGTAGGATGGGCAGATCTTAGCAGATTATTTTCATTCTGTCTCTGTGCTATACACACATTGAAACTATTTCCTACATTTGACTTGGGCAGAATATGAAACGTTAAAAAAAAACACTTGCACAGTCTATAAAGCAAAGCCCCTGTTATGATATTTTCCCCTTAGATTATGGATATAAGATTAACTAGAACTGGAGCTTTAGTTAATTCAAAAATCATTCAAAATCTGAGGGTAAAACCTGGACAAGCTGTTAAAATCCAGTTATTCCTACCAATTTAGTGACTTAGGCTAGCCTATCAGCTGAGCTATTAACTACCAAATAAAGAAAGATTGTCTGTTTATTTAAATGTCACCAAAAGAAGGGTGAAACTGGCCTGAGTGATAAACCAATCACTGTACAATAAACACAATCTACTACAAGTTAAAATAATGATGTCTTCATTTCTAACAATCCAGGATTATTAAGGAATCTAACACCTATGCAAACACTACACACCACTAGAAAATAAAACACAAGGTAGACTAAATTAATAATTTTGGAACAGGGGAAAAGAGGTCTAAGAGTTCATCTGATGGCTTATAGGGAATGTCCAAGGGAGGCCAAATGTCAATACATTCATTAATGTCCAATAGCAGCAGATATAATGAGCAATAATAGGTGGAGTTAAAGCAACGCAAATTCATTCAGCTTACAATGGTTAGTTTTTACATATTTATTTCCAATATTGAATTTTAAAACCTCAGCAAACCTACATTCATTGAACCTAGTTATATAAAACTAGATTCATTGAACCTAGTAATATAAAACTTCTTTTCATCACATCACCCCAGTCCTGCAGCAGCTCCACTGGCTACCTGTGAAGTATAGAATTCAGTTCAAAATCCTCCTACTTACTTTTAAAGTTATTCACAATCTCTCCCCTCCATACCTTTCTGATTTACTTCAAATTTCTACTCCCTCCCGCACTCTTAGATCTTCTTCTACCACTCACTTAGTTGTTCCTTCAGCCCGTCTTAAAACCATGGGGAGCAGAGCTTTTTCACGTTCTGCGCCCACACTCTGGAACTCTCTCCCCTCTGACATCTCCAAAACCGAGTCTTTACCCGTATTCAAATCCAAACTCAAAACCCACATGTTCAAGATTGCCTTTTCATTATGATTTTATATTACTTTCCTCTGTGTAATTTGTGTTGTTTCTTTTAATTATGACGACTGCTTTTTACCATTTATTGTTTTTATATGTACAGTGACCTTGAGTGTTTTGAAAGGCGCTTGAAATAAAATGTATTATTATTATTATTATTATTATTATTATAAAGGAGGAAGGCTCCTACGATCCAAAGTCAACAAAAGAAAACATGATGGCGGGCCCCCTACCATGCAGTCAAGGGGGGTAGAGCAACAAGCTGGTGAAATACTGGGGTGGTGGGTCACCAAAATGGTGGACCTTATCAGGTGACCAAAGGGGGAGGCTTGGACTACAATGTGAGCGTAATTTAGCTAATGAAACTAATGAGACTCAGGAAATGGCTGCCGCTAGTATGTGGTTGCACACGGTTTAAAAGGGTCTATGATCCTCACTTATGGTGATGGTGGGGCGTCCCTCCGTGATTCAACCGCAACAAACACTGCAACACTGACTCCTCGGAGGGGACATCCGCACAAAACTGGTTAGCCAGGCGGAGGCGCCGTCTTCTCACCTTCGCTGCAGCGGTTAGGCGCGCATCAAAACACTGCAGTCAGTAGCTCTGACCGCAGGACAAAGGGGGAAGCATCTCAGTTTTCCAGCAGCTGATTCGTCTCACAGGCATGACATCTGCAGGTTGGTCTGCTTACATCATTACCATTTAAGCTTGTTGCATCTTTCTTAGAAGGAGCACACAGTACCGCAGTCTAGGGACCGGCTAACGTATGGGTCCAAAATGTTAAAACTGTTCTGTAACGACACATTCGTGGATTCACAGCAGATTTCGTCTGTCTGAAGTTGAAAGCTGGTTGTCTTGACAGCTAGGAAACACGTGTTGGGTTAGCGCTAGGGTTAGTGGTAGGATGAGGGTAGGGTTAATGGTAGGGTGAGGGTAGGGTTACTGGTAGGGTGAGGGTAGGGTTAGGGGTAAAGTGAGGGTAGGGTTAGTGGTAGGGTTAATGGTAGGGTGAGGGTAGGGTTACTGGTAGGGTGAGGGTAGGGTTAGTGGTAGGGTGAGGGTAGGGTTAGGTGTAGGGTGAGGGTAGGGTTAGTGGTAGGGTGAGGGTAGGTGTAGGGTGAGGGTAGGGTTAGTGGTAGGGTGAGGGTAGGCGTTAGACACTCTCTCGATGACCCCCCCCACTCAGTCCGACAACTAGAGCAGTTGGTTAGGGGGTCAAAGGCATTGCACGGGCCGACGCACGTTTGTTGGTATCTCTCAGATCCATAGTCAAACCAATTTGTAGAATTATAGTTAGGGTCAAGGTTCTGGTCAGGGTTGGTTTTAGGGTCCGGGAAACGGTCATGGTTGGTTTTAGGGTTAGGGTAGCGGTCAGGGTTAGGGTTAGGTCAGCGGTCAGGGTTAGGGCAGCGGTCAGTATGGACTGAGGGAAGGGAGGTGGGAAGAGGGAAATGTCTATAAATAAGCATATAAATTTTATTTTAAAGGTAAATGGAGGAAGTGAGTCAGGGTAAACCGCCCGGGAATGGGCTAAGTCGACCCCCGCCAGTCTGGCATGTAAAAGGGTTAGGGTTAGTGGTAGGGTGAGGGTAGGGTTAGGGGTAGGGTGAGGGTAGGGTTAGTGGTAGGGTGAGGGTAGGTGTAGGGTAGGGTTAGGGATGAAAACCAGTTGTGGTGTTCGGGCACTCCAAATAACTCAAAGCTTTTAAATGTCAGAGCGTCCGAACTTGGCAGACTCTGTTGGGGGGTCCTCAGGTAGTGGCAAATTTGTTAATTTGAAATATTTTTATTTGTCCAGCTGTAATTTTCCTTCAAGAGGCATGATCCCAGTCACAAAGGAAATGGTGTATGACAGTCATTCAGAGGTCAGACCGTTATCATGTGTTCCAGCAGCAGAGCTGTCACAACTTAAAGAGTCTGTGCAGCATCGTGTTGGGAGTAATCACCACCATTGACTCTCAATGAGAGGTAAACACCAAGACCTCGTCCATGTAGGCAAATCACCGTCCCCATGCAGCAGTTCAGCGGACAGGATGAATGAACGGTAGCTGGCGCGCGGATGATGTCATACACACTGCGCTTTGTTTTTGAAAGATATTAATATAAAAATATAACCGTGGATGTCTGGGGGACAGTGATTGGCCTACATGTTATGAATGGTGGCGTACCATAAAGTATAAATGATGAACAGTTTAGTTTGTGCCTTCAAGTCGTTGCCCATAGGAAGACGTTACTTGGATATAACAGAATATCTTAAGAACAGCTCCAAATGACAAAGAAAATCATATGGGTGAGTAGAACATGATGTAATAACTTAAAACCAAGGGCCCAATGTCAAAAAATAAAAAACGGTGTTTCCCTTTAACATGACCCTATTTTAATGGTTGTAACCTTCCACTGTATCTGAATCTTCACCCACTGATCTGTTGGACCGTTTCAGAGATGACGTCTGAAACCATTTGTCTGTTTTCTGTGAGCGAACCTGAATCTTAATGAAAACTTGCTGTTATTCATTACACACTTTTAAAGACTTTAACTAATAATTAACATCACTATTATCTCACCTTTTCTCCAGCTTTTGCCACTGTCAATAATTCATGGTTAAGAAGCTGTACCTTTGAACCCTCTGCATACTGATCCCTCTGACCTGATGGAAAACCTTTAAACTTTAGTTTAAGCTAAAGACCATGGGATCAGTTTCAGCCTCATGTGGCTCATTTATCACATTAAAATAAAAGTTAAAAGAACTAAGAGCAGGTATTAGAGAGATTATTATTTAAAACCACATTTTTGGATTTACACAGTTTTTATTGTAGTATTCAAATATAAAGCCAGCCGGGAAAATAAATATTTAAAAATATTTTGTAAATTTCTCTACAAACAAAGAATAGAAATCTGAACCAAATACCTGATCTAATTGTGACAGAATTTAAAAAATCTAGGAATCACAAATTTACATTTTTTGCAGTTAATTTGTATCAATCTTTCCACAAAGGTTTATTGTATTGCAGAATAAAAACAGCAACCAGACAGACTAATTTAGTTCAATCTGAATTATAATCAGTATCAATCTACAAAAGGGATATTGGGTATTCACAACAACTTTTCACACTGATTGGACAACAAGGTGGTACATGTCTCCACGCTGAGCTTTAGCCAATCACAGCAGCAGCAGTGACTACAAGTGTTTCACAGCCAGTGGAGTGAAGTGATAAATAAAACTCTTCCCAAATCCAGTCAGGAGGAACGCACAAGCCGCGTTCCATCCACAAAGGAAAAAATGCCGCCATTTTGGTCTTTTCTCTAAAAGAGGCCGAGGCTATGTCAGCTAAAACCGGCGCAGCTTTTTTGTTTCGTTTTGGCCTTCCGCCTCTGCTTGACGTGCTGATGTCATACACATCACTGGTCCAAAACATCTCTGTATCCAGGCCAATGCATCCGGTGGCTTCTGGCAGGATGTATTTTCAGGAGTTTGTGAATTTATGATTCAAGGTCATAGACAGAACGGAAACCTGAAATACTGATCTTTCCATTCTAGATTAATATCATGAGCATCATCACTAATTCTTTTCATTTTGAGGGTTTTGCTGATTAGTTCCATGTTTTGAAAGTTAAAACCACGTGATTTTATTTGACAGTGTAACATAATTTAAATGCTGCCTTTTGGCACTTGGGCTGCTTGTGGTTCATTAAAACGTGACTCAGTTTAAAACCTATTAACCAGTAGGGGTGTAAATCACATCCATCATGGCGATTCGATTCAGTATCGATTTCCTGACCCAACGATTCGATTATTTTTGATACTCAAGAATACACCACGATACGATTCGATTCGATTAATCGGTTAATGTTTTTTTTTTGTTTTTTTACACCTTACAGGCTAAAAAAAGTTTCAAGTTTGAAATAAAGCAATGAAAGCTGTAATATCGTTATGCATTTTTTTTAGAAACAACAGCAAATAACAGAAGTAGAACAGCTGCATCAAGAAATACTACAAAAATCCAGCACAAAATCAATGCAATGAGTGCAATGCAATACCTCCAGACGTCCCCGCCCCCTCCACAGACGCTCCGCTGCTCCTCTCCCTAATTGTAAATGACCGCAAACAGTGCCGCAGACAGGAGGCCGGCTTGTTTTGTTTTTATGACCGAAATTGCGGAAAACAACTCATGAAGTTTGACCCGCTAGAAGAGCGAGGTGCGCGAGAACGCTGGGACCCTTTTTCCACCTGGATCTCCGCTCTTTTTGGCCCTCATGTCCCTCTGTCTTTGGACTAAACTCGCCCCCACTTCCTCGCCGCCTCGGCCGTATCTAGACCCACAGCGTGTAGCACAGACCATGCTTCAATATTGAGCATAATTTAAAAATGTCTGTGTCAAGCTCACTGCAACACACTGCTGTAAGAGTATAACCAGGAAGCGAGGTAGAAGGGCAAAATAGGTTTAGCGCCACCGCAGCACGGGAGGGAGAATTACGCCCAGGAGCAAATGGATAAAAATAGACCGGAGGAAAAAAAAAACATGAATCGATTCTCTTGTGGACGTGTCGATGCATCGGATCGTCGGCTGTTGGATCGATACATCGATACAAAACGATTATTATTTACACCCCTAATTATCACCACGAGTAACGATGAGCCTGAGGAGTTATATTATAATATTATTATATTATAATATTTTTAAAATGCATTAAATAGGCTGTGTAGCTGATTCATAGCCGTTATTCACAGAATCTCTAAACCTCCTTCTTTATGTGATGAACTCTGAAGAAACATCACAGGTTTACAGATGATCCTCAGTATCTGTTGCTTTTGGTGAAAAATCAACATCATTTGTTTAGATTTACCTCAAAGTAGTCCTGCTTCACAAAGGTTCCTGTTTCCATGGTGTATTTACATGTCAGGTAATCCAGAGCCATGGTGGCAATCCCATGAGAGGCCAGCAGTGCAGCCCGGTACTCCACCAGCTGCCCCCCACCGCCCCACAGGTCCAGGAGACCAGGAAAAGGTCCAGGTCCTGAAAACACGTGCTTCCATGAATAAATCGTCAGTCAGAAACATTTGGATAAAAAAATTATTAGAATTATTATGTATAAGATACTTAATGTTTGTTCTTATGATGTATGTGTGACATATTACTGTTCCAGAGAGGTGTTCCACAAGCAGTATAGGTCAACTCTCAGGAAGTATTGCTCAAGCTTAACAAAACCAGGAGTTACTCGGACCATTTGACCGCAAGACATTTAAATGCAAATTGACCTGTTCACTGAGGCTGCAAATTGCATTGTATTTCTTGTTTCCTATTCCTTTAGCACAACCTCAGCTTGTGTAACTAGGGACCCCCCCTCTGACTTTAATAAATAGCGAGGAGAAAGCTGAAGACCAGCAGAGTGGGGTGGAGATGTACCTGCAAGGTCTAGGAGTAAAAAGAATGCTGACATTGTGCCTTTCTTTCCTTGTGTTTTTAACAGTGTTTTAGGTGTTAGACCCAACAAAAATGTAAAAATTTGACGGTTACCTAGGCAACACTTTCCCACCTTGGATCATCTGGTCCACTGCAGGACAATGTCCACTGTTGGAGTGGACATTGTGGATGCCGCAGTTAAGATTCAGCATCATAAGTAGGGCTGCAACTAACGATTATTTTAAAAATCGATGAATCGGCCAATTATTTTTTCGATTAATCGATGAATCGGACAAAAAATATTTTTATACTAACCTCTTTATTCCAAAATAAACATTTTAGACAGAACAAACAAGCACACAAGTACAGGTTGCTCATTAACTGTACTGGTGGAATATGAAAAATAAATGTTTGTGATAAAACTACGCAAACTTACATGAGAAATGTAGCTGTACATCCACAAAATATAGGGTACTTTGTTTCATAAAGCGCAAAAAAAGGCATTTCTGTTTTTAAAAGCCCCTAAGGGGTTCAAACAATAGGTCCCCCCATTTCAACAAATGAGTATTTTTTAGACTAGAAGAGTTCTGCCTTTTAAGACAGGAAAGTATAGCAGTTAAAGTTTCTACTTGAGAAAATACTTAACCATAGAGATAAAAATAGGTTAAATTTATAAATTGTATTTGAAATAAAAATGAGAGAACTAGGGGTGCTAAAAAAACACATCCTCCAAAGACAGATATTTACATGGGAATGTGGCATATAATGAATTGACATATTACTGATCTTGCTGGATTTTATGCTTTACTTCCATAAATTGCAGGATCTTCTTTACTTTATCTTTGCCAGAAGATTTAAACTTCAAAAGCCTTGCCCTCATAATTTGCAAGTTAATTTATTTATAAAGGCTATTTTAATTATTGTGATCAATTTGCGCAGTCAATCCCGGCGCATGCGCGCTTCATTTGCAGTCTGGACGCTGAAACATCCTGTGGCTCTGACTGCAGCGCTGAGAGGGATACCTGCGGGAGAATGGGGTTGGGATGGGGGAGGCGCCTCACGGCAGCAGCTGCTGCTGCAGGACAAGAGTAGGAACGATACATGCTTTCACGTAAGAGTCTCCAAAAGCCGCCAGTGACACCGTAAAAAGTCGCCAGATTTGTCGCTAGTCGCTTTTTTTTTAAAAGTCGCTGGAGGGGTCGGAAAAGTCGCTAAATATAGCGACAAAGTTGCTGAGTTGGCAACACTGTGCACCTGCGGCGCTGGCTCGCTCTGCCGTAATTTTTTTTCTTCCCCCGTTTCAGTCAAGTGGCAGTGATGACGGCGGCGGCGGATGACGCATTAATCGCGCGACACAACTAATCGATGATGAAATTCGTTGCCAACGCTTTTAAAAGTCGATTTTTATCGATTTTATCGATTCGTTGTTGCAGCCCTAATCGTAAGCCACACTGATTTCTTTGTATCCAAAGACAGCAGAATGTCGTTTTGAACTTTAAGCAGAGCTAAACCTAACCTGAGAGAATATCCTCCAGAATTGAATTTCAGCCCAAAAAAAGCTGCAACTGAATAAAAACTAGTTTCTCTAAAACCTTGGATAAAAATGGCAGTTGGGAGGCAGAACAGCAGGATCTAGATTAGGTTTTTTTAACAGTGGCCTAACAACTGCATGCTTGAAAGCTGAAGGGATGCAACCAGAGCTAAGGCAGCCACTGAACAGAGCGAGAACGTATGGGCCCACAGTGTAAATCAGTGTTAAAAATGAACTATGTTGTTGATGCAACTAAAACAGTTAACTTCATCAAGGCAGGGCATTAAATCCCAGACAATTTAAGCACTTTTGGAGAAAAATTATATTAAATATGGCGATATAAGCTATGACTGCATGTCAGGAGGCTCATGCTGGGCTAAATGCAAAATGAAAGACCAGAGTCTGGATTTCTGTATGAAGAAAGGACATGACATCCCAGAGCCTTCAGACGAAGACTGGGTGGCAGACCTCAGACCGGCACTAATGAAGGAACTAAAGGTCAAACTGCAGTGTAAGGTAAGCACCTTGTTGTTCATAAGATACATAGAGCAGTGAAGGCTTTCGTGAGAGAGCTGCAGCTTTCTGATCACTGACTAACACTAAAAACCTTCCCAAGCACACAACCATTTTAGAAGCACTGCATGGAGAGTTTTCAAATGCACATGGTTACTTCTCCATTCATAAAATGAAAGGAAGTTCTAGAAGTATGAATACTGGTTCTAGTCCACCTGGACTGGTTTCTGGTCCTACCTGAAGGTAGGAAGAGAGTGGCAGTGAGTCCATCCTCTGTGACTGGAATCCGTCGGACACCAGGTGCCATGTACCACCGCTCCACTTCCACACCGGCCAGAGGCTCCTGATTCCCAAAGCCCTCACTCAGGTGACCCTGGTAAACAGAGATGGTGACCACCATGGGGGCCAGGACATTCTTCTTCCTCATCCTGTGGGTACAGGGAGAGTCAGCTGTTGGCAGTGATATACTGATGGACAGGCAGCAGTAGAATGGCAGACCAACCTGAGCCCTGCTTTGCTGCCTGGAACTGGTTTAAGGCTCCATAACAAACCCATAGCTTCCACCCCTGTATAAGTTCCCCCCACACTGCAGTCCTCTGAAACTGAAAAGTGGAAGGCAGAAGGTGAAAGACTGGCAGCATCTCTTCTTATATGGCTGCTTCTGTGCATCACGAGTCAGATCCACACACCGTTTACAGCCCCGGTGGCATCAGAGGTATAGTGGGCGAAGGAATGCCAGCTGTGTCCATCTTCACACTGATGGAGGGCGCGGATGGTCAGCTGGGAACTAGGGAGGGCGTTCTGGACCAGGACAATAAACTTCTCATCTACAAGCCCTCTGGATGGCTGGACTGATAGTGTGACACAGCACTGCTTCTCCTCCATCATTAACCTGAAGATGACAAGAGAAAAAATAAAGTCTGTAAAACTATTTTACTTCCCTTTCTGTCTGTTGCTTTATTGTCATTTTATCTAAATGGGATAAAGTCAAAGTTTTAGGGTTCTGTAAATGGGGGCCCTGCCCGGCCGGTTTTTAGCTGCCAATCCGAGCAGTCATAGCTTGTATGCCCTTTACAAAAAACATTGTACCCCGTTATACGAATTAACAGCTTTGGCACGCCCTATTTTTTTCCAGGAAACTTTGCTCAGATGTTCAAAATTTCTCAAACAGCAGCTGCTGGAGCTGGAAAAACTGAACTTTAGGTGATGAACGCGACACATTAACCAATCAGAGAAGCTGATCTGGGAGCCAGCAGGGAGACAGACACAGCATTGCTGATGCAGAGCTGTTTATTTACGCCTAAATTAACTTCAAATGTGGAAACCTGCCAGCTAAATATTTTTGCGTTTATTATCCTGGTGCCTGCAGTCTGGATTCAGTACATTACTAACATCTACTTCCATCCGCCACCAACAGTAGGGGAAAACCCCCAAGAGGCGACCAGGCCTGCAGCAAGTGCTGCTGGGGATTCCCACTGACAGCGCACGGCTGGTATGTGGGGGTCTGAAAATGGAGGACCAGCTCTACCATATTTTAAAATAAATTAATGTTCTGTTGCTGTTGTTCAATAAAAATACATTTCAAGATCATTTGAGGTAAGAACATTATACTTTTAAGCATTACTTTAGGGCCCATCTACCGATTTAATGCGTTATTTTAAAAAAATTTCCAAAGCTCAGAGGACCACAGCAACCAGCGGAGATCCGAGGGTAACGGCAGCCAGAGATAACGTTAGCCCGTCTGCAGCAGCCCCCTCTCTGCATGGCCTTGGGGGAAGGAAAGCTGGCTCTGATGGAGTTTTTTATTTTATTTGGCCAAATGTTCATTTGATTTGTGTTTATCTGACTGTGGTCATTATTATTCCCCCACTAAATGAAAAAAAGTCAGAATTTATTATAATCTAGATAATATTAATAACAGCAGGTGAAATGCAGCTCCAGACTAGCTTTGAATGTGGTGATGTCATCAGTACGCTTCTGTTCCAGTTCACCCAGATTTATCCTGCGTGCTCCTGTTCTCCCAGAGTCCAGACTTTCCTGGGTTCTTCACTAGAACATGCTTGGCGAGGACACGAGTCCGAACTCACGTTGTAGTGAATTGAGAAATGGCCACTGACTTCAGACTTCATTATTGGCATAATGAGGCAGAAGTGTAAAAACCACAGGCAGAAATAGTTTTGAAGAAATAAATGGGGTAAAAAAAATAGAAAGGAAGAATAAAACAGACAAAAATATTATAACATGCACATAAAAAAAAAACGTAAAGATGCTAATTAAAAGAGATATATACATTTATGTGTCCTGTGTTAAACGGCTCTCTGGCATTGAATACAGGAGCAGCAGAAGCATCTCTTTACTGGACGGCTGACCTTAATGTGGATCAGAGATGAAGCAGCAGGACCTCCTTGAAGGCGTTCCGTTGTGATGTTATGAGATGACCCGACGCTTCGAGGCGTGTTGTGAGTAATGGAGGGGGCGTTTCCCCCGAAGCGTGTGTTGAGGCCTGATTCATTTAGGGGAGGGGCCAAAATTGATGATGTCCAAAGCCTTGCTACCGTGAGACCATGCGACCGCTTTGGGAAGTGGTTCGGGAGGCGCAAGAATTTTGACAGGCATTTAAACAGCCTCAGGATTCAGTCCAGATGTGGGAGTTTGTAGGACAGCTGCTGTCAGCTGGATAGATTCTAAGAATAGATTGGTTGTTTTTTAAACCAATCTAGTTGGTTAAAACCGTTTTGTTAGATTAAACAATCTAATGATCAAAATCTGAGCAAGCCACCGGACACAATTGTAACATTAGTGTTAAGTAGTACTGCTCTCTATTGAAAAGCTAGCAATGTTAGTTGCGTCATCTGTAAGACCATGACTCTCAATCCTGCGCTTGGTGATTCAAAACCCACCTTTGACTTTTGAAAGTTGCAATTAAACTTAATTATTTTAGCTAATGAGACTAATGTGCACTGGTTTGCCCTAGTAAAAATATAGATTGCTGCCAAATTAGGTCGGTTTAGACAAAAGATTGCTTGAACACATAACTTCCAACCCGATTAAAAACAAAACTGTTGGAAAACTATTATGTTTGAATAAAAATCAGTAACACCTTTCATTACGCTCGCTATTGCCCAATTTGCACAAACACTTTCACTCTCTGCTTGGTTTTATTTCACTAAAATGGCAGAATGACAGTGAACCTTAAATGACTGTTCTAAGACCAAAAAAAAAAACTTACAAAAGATTTTATTATACACACCAACCATTAACAATGTCAAAGAAAAAAAAAAGAAAAACTATTTTTATTTTAACAGATTTTAACAACAAAACAAAGAACAAAGACAAAAAGTTAGCTCCAATCCACCTTAAAATGCAGGAAATGGTGTTTCAGAATCTAAATGTCAACATTTAGACGGCATCAAGGATAAGTCAGAACTTTTCAGAACCAAACTGCTGCAAAATAGATCTTTTGCAGCACATTTCTCTTGAGTTTCAGAACTTATAGAAACTGGAGAGAAGGACTGGCTGATGAACGACTGAGACAAAGAGGACCCATGCTGTGCCCTGACTGCAGAGCTGCAAATGGATGAAACTCAAGCTTTCCAAATGGACATGGAAAAAGGTTTGCAGGTCTGGCATGATTAGGGACAGAACAAGCAATATGTCTTTTGATGATGCTAATCATATCATGTGTTTACTGCTGAGTAAAGACAACGCTAATTGACACTAAAGAATGGACTGGATGCTACACTGCACGAATATGTGTTGAGCTGTTGCTAAATCTTAGACAAGCTTTATTCACTAAGGGTTAAACACTGATATAACATTAGTGTTCATATGTTCCTCAAATGCTAATTACATTTCAGGGTGACCATATTTTAATTTCGGAAAACCAGGACACCTTGGGGGGGGGGGGGGGGGGGGGGGGGGGGTTTGATTGAAAGAACAAATGTCTCATCATCAGGATTTGCTCCGTGATCAGAGGAAATGTTACTTGGCGCAGAACAGTGGTGAAAATTGGAAGTTCGGTTTATTATAATACAACTTTGTGAATAGTTCCGTAAATAGTAAATAGTTGTTTTAATGGTTATAGAGTCAGATATTTGGCGGTAATGTCTGGTTTATCTAAAGGTTTTTATCTGTTACTGTGTAAATGGGTTTGGCTGTAATTTAAGGACAGATTCTAATAGATCTGCAGAGTGGGGACTATAAATCTGATAGGAGTTTAATTTTTTTATTGCTGTTTTGCACAATATGCTTAACTAAGTATTTTTTGTTGTTGAATATTAGAGATTTTGCAGATATATTTTGTAGATACATTGTTTAGATTTACTTATATATTTCTACCCCTTTTATAGAATATAAAATCCCTTTATTGTCCCACAATGGGCAAATTTACAGCAGCAGAAAGATTATTAAAAATGGTAACACAAATGAGGACCTTAGAAAAATGTGTAAGAATAACATAATAGGGAACAGTTAAAATATAAAAAATAAAATTCTGTAAAGTGTTTCAACAATATAAAACTGGAGAATTAATAACCAATATGCAGCTATGGACATTTTTACAGTAATGGATATTTGAAAATAGCAGCAACATCAGAGATGTGCAGAATGACAGCAGCATGTTATTTAACTGACTAAGGTTTCTATCATTACATTTGATTTTATTTGTTCCTGCTCCCGGTGGTTGGAATCTTTATTCCACTCTGGATTCTTGTGAGTGTAGTCTTTGTTCACTTTAACTTTAAAAAAAATAAATAAATAAACAAACAGCTTTGAAAACCTCGGTATTCATTCTTTTCCTGTTTTGTGTGTCAACTTTCACGGTTGCTAAGCAACAGAGCATACGGCGGTAAAACCCGCCGCAGGGAGGACCTGTTCGAATTTACAGGCAAAACTCTTCCGGCCTCCATATTTTCAAGGACTTCGAAGGATCCAGTCTAGGTAGACCGCGTCCTTGGAGGATGCGTCCTAGGTTTTCGAACAGAGCCTCTGATTAAGAACAGGGCTGCCCGCACTGACACGGCTCAGGGATTACGTCACACGGAGCGTTGTGCGCAGTGAAATCAGGACATTTCCTCACTTTCTAAAAAAAACCCGGGACGCCCAGGACAGGACGTGAAATACGGATATGTCCCGGGAAATACGGACGTTTGGTCACCCTACATTACCAAGTATGACCAAGAGTCATTTAGTGGAATCCTGATGTCTATTCGCTGCTAGCTAAAGAGGATAAAGAATAATTTAATTCACTAAAGGTTTTTGGTTCATGATTAAGCAAATCATATAACAAAACATTATTTGGCCGAATGTTTTATTCACCTCATGGATTTGCATTGTGAATTGGTCTGAAAAACTTGCAATTTCTTTAAAATTAGTGAAAAGCTAATTTGATCATATCCCAAATTATTCCAGATAAACTATGGTTTCAAACACAGAATCCATCTTAAACTGTAATATGGTTTTCAATAGGGATGCACGATATAATCGGCCCCCTATCGGTATCGGCCTGTATCAGCCTTAAAACTGAATATCAAACATCGGCCACCCCACCGATATTTAACCCAATATTTGATCAGCTTCTGAGTTTCTAAAGTCTAAAAAAAAAAAAATTACTACTTCTTCTTCTTCCTCAAAAACTTCTTTTTTACAGACTTAAAAACTTCTAAAGACGAGGGAAAAAATATTGATACATTAAAATATCACAATATCTTCATATGCTGATATATTGCCATTTAAAAACACCATATCAATCTCATTTACTAATGAAATATTGCTATATGTCATCGTTATGCTACGAAATACCCCGAAAATTCACAAAATTTAGCTATACTTTTATATGTTAATATATTGACGCGGTATCTATCTAATTTACTAGCAAAATCTCACAAGAATTTT